GGGTACATCTAAGTCCCCAGAAAAGACTGGTTTGGATGCAAACATAATAACACATCCATGTGTTTGACAAAAAGCCCCCATCCTAGATGAACCCACCATGCACCTTCTCTGGGCTTATACCCCAGCAGATGAAAACTTACCGGGACATTTTACCCACATAGAGCATTAGCTGCCCAGCCATCTTTATATGTTTCTCTGGTCAGTTCATGTCTTGATTCTCCACATCAGTTCACACCTTTTCACTTCCTTCAAAGCTTCAATGAACTCCCACTCTTGAGACAGCCCTGTGAAAAGGACTTTTAGAAGTGAGGCTAGTGGATGAATCCCAGTTACTACCAGGAGTTTGGAATGAGGGACCTCTAGTAGCATCATTTCCTAGGATTTCACTTGTCTTCTTCCCTGAATTTCTCCCTCCACACTTTACATGTACTAACTCCTGGACTTTTTCTCCTCCCACCTGTACTCTCCCACAGTGGTGTGCCGCTAAACTGGCTCTCTGAAAGAAAGAAAGCCTGGATTTGTTAGCGTTTGTTGATTTCTGTGGTATAAAGATTCCCACCACAGCTGCTTTCAAGCTACCACCAGCTTGAAATATTTAACAACCACCAAGATCCTGGGAGGCAGGTCTGGCTCTCTGGATCACCTGCGTCACACCGGGCTCCCTTCTCATTCCTCAGACCACTCTTCCCAGGGGCCTCTACTCTCTGGCCTTTGTAGGGGTTTTGTGCTTCATAATAGGGTCGCAGCAACCAGGATCAGCTGGCTGAAGTATCCTGAAATCACTGACGTTAGACCTGTAGGATGCTAAACCACACCTTTTACTGTTCCACGGCTTAGGGCTCACCTTTCATCTCTCACGAAGTTCAATATTCTAGCAGTACCAGGCAATGTTCGGGAAGCATTAAACAACAAGATGCATGAAAAAGCCTCTTCCCTCTTCAACGAAATTCTGGTTCCTTAGCATTCTGGGCATAGTTCTTTTGCACACTGACAGGAGGCAAGAGCTGTTATCCCTGATGAATTCTCCTTCAGTGCTTCATACACTTCAATGTTTGTACAATTACCAGGGGATCTTGTTAAAACGTAGATCCTGAGCTTCCCTGGTGGCGCAATGATTGAGAGTCCGCCTGCAGATGCAGGGGACACGGGTTCGTGCCCCAGTCCGGGAGGATCCCACATGCCGCGGAGCGGCTGGGCCCGTGGGCCATGGCCGCTGAGCCTGCGCGTCCGGAGCCTGTGCTCCGCAACGGGAGAAGCCACAACAGTGAGAGGCCCGCGTACCGCAAAAAACAAAAACAAAAAAAACCCTGTAGATCCTAATTCAGGAGTGGGAGGGCACTGAGCGTTAGCATCTTTAACAAGCTCTGAGGACCACGCTTTGAGTAGCAGCAGACCGGATGACCTCTAAGGTCCTTTCCAACTCTGGCTGGAGAAGGTTGGTTGGCCTGTTGAGTAGGACTCTTCATTAACACTCAGCAGTTCTAAGGACTCTAGCGAGGTCTGCCAGCCTTTCAACTCTGTGACCCCGCTGCCCTCACCTTTTGCCACATCTTGGCTAAATTGTCGACTAGTACATCCCACCCTGGCAAAGTCCACATCCTCTGCTCCTCACACAGTCACCTTCAAAGCATTTCTCCTGCTCACCCCTTCTTTCCCACCAACCAACCTCTGGTCCCAGCTTACACTCCCTGGTTCCAGGTCCTTGGTCCAGTTTCCACAGTGCCCTTGGTACATGTGCATTTTTAACTGGGGCTATTTACACGGTGTCCCTTTTCCATTTGTGTTCTCATGCACATAACATCTATTTACATCCTCTCGTGAGTCTTTAAGAACAGAAGTCGTGACTTTTCTCCCTTTTGTCCTCTGCTCGGAGCCAGGTATGTAGTTCCACACAGGTCGTCCCAGGGAGACAACATTCGTAAGTGTCAACCAGTGTCTTCTAGTGTCTCATCTTCCCTGTTCCTTCTTTTTTAAAATTTTTGTCTGTCCACAGAGATAGGTTAATTTTCAAATGCTTTTTATTTTATTATTATTATTAGTTTTGGCCGCTCTGCACAGCATGCGAGATCTTAGTTTCCTGACCAGGGATCGAACCTGCACCCCCTGCATTGGAATCGCGGAGTCTTAACCACTGGACCACCAGGGAAGTCTTCCCCCTGTTCCTCTTTAAGTCCTTCCTTGACTGACCTTCCTTTTTCTATGCTTCAAACATATTCTTCCTCTGCAATACGGTATCACTGAAAACGCCAGGGACCCTGGGTCATAGAGAACCACCTCCTTCCCACTTAGTGTGAAGAGCCTGGAAGTGGGGTGGGAAGGTCCTGCCTGAGTTCAAATCCCACTTGCTCCCCTGATTAGGTATGTATGATCAGGTAGGTGATTTTGCCTCTCCAAAATGATTTCTTTGTAAAAAGGGGATAGTGGTGCCCAACTCAAGCAGTTGTAAGGGTTTAAGAAAATAATTCATGGGAAGCACTTAACACAGTGTCTAGCATGGAGTAAAAAATGTGCGACCTTAAACTCTCTCAGTCTTGGCTCCTTGTGGGCAAAATGAGAATAATAGTACCCATCATACAGGGTACTTGGGAGGATACAATGAAGCAGCGTGTGCGGAGTGCCTCAACGCTCCACCCACAGATGGCCCCCTTGCTTCTCCTTTCCTGCCATGTGCGCAGGATCCTGAGGTCACCCTTGTTCTCGGTGCTTTTTCTCTCCTCTCCCTGCTCCCATTCTCTCAGGCTTCCTTCCTTCTCTTCTTTCCCTTCATAAGTGTTCATTGACTGCAGTGACAGTGTGAGGGGAGAGTGGAATAAGATTGGTCTCCCTTAAAGAAGTGTAATGGGGGAAAACCATGAGCCTACAGGTAAATGGGGATAGAAATATAAAATAATGACCACTTCTATATTAACTTTTTATTCGGTCATTGAAAATTATGTTATGTGGGAAATATCTGACTCTATAAGACATAGTCCTTCTCTCTAGATGTTTATAACTACAAGTATGAGCAACAACAGAACGTTGAATTGAAATAAGATTAAATTGTGGAAAATTTCAACCTCAAACAGAAATTCTATGGCCTAAAAGCCAATGACCACGACTTAAAATGATATTCTCAGCTGACTAAAATCAGTCTTTTTCTCTCCTGTTTCCATTTTTACTTTGTTGATTGCTTAAAAGAAGAAACTACTAGTGAATTTTGTGTTGCATTCTCTCATCTTACAATGGATCCCAGGGGATATATCTTAAAGAGGAAGTGAAGAATTTGTATTCAAGAATATGTCAAGCTACTGGAAAAGAAGAAAATCCTAAGAAATCCTAAGTCCTTTGGAGAAGGGATACAAAAGATGGAAATTGCAATCTTCTTAGATTCTCAACCCTGGCTGCGAAGTAGAATCACTTGGGGAGATTTTAAAAATTATCAAAATCCAGGTCCCGACCTAGACCAATTAAATCAGAATTTCTGGGCATTAGCAGTTTTATAAGTTCCCCAGGTGATTCCAATGTGCATCCTTGGTCGAGAAGTGTTCTGTTAGTTGACCAGCAGGAAACACCACCTGTTAAGCAGATTGGTAAAGGAAGGTAAGAGTCCAACTTCATCTGAGAGCACACTCTCACTCTTGTTCTGACCTCCAACCAAGGCCTTTTTTCAATTCTCCAAATGCATCAAAACTTCACAAAGGCCCTCTGCCTAGAATGATCTTACTCCCTCTCCTTTTTCATCCGTCCCATTCTGGTTCATTCCCAAGGTTCAGCTCAATGACTTCTCAAGGACGCCTTGGCTAACTTAGACCATAATACCCTATGCTTCTCCTCAGCGTATATTGTAAGTAAATAAAGTACTGTGTAATTAATTGTGTTTTACCTTTATGCCTTCCTAGAGCAGGAGTTCTCAAAGTGTGGGCTGTGGACCAATAGCATCAGCCTATCAACTTGTTAGGAATATGCAAATCTTCCAGCCCCACTCCAGACCTACTTAGTCAGAAACTCTGGGGGTGGGGCCGGGTTTTAAGCAGCCCGCAGGGTGATTCTGATGCAAACTGAAGTTTGAGAGCCAATGGGCTAGAGTCTTAACTCCTTGAGGTGCAAGGATCACACCTGCTTTTTTTTTTTTTTCTACTGCTATATCCTCAGTGTCTGCCTCAGTGTCCTGTGTCAGGTATGCACTTGATAAATACTTGTTGCACGAGTGTAAGGCTCAAGAATCTGAGGTGGAGGTCTCTATGCCTGGCAGTAGGGAGCATATTCATTTAGGTTAAAGATAAACTCTCTACCACATAAATCCATGTGCGTCGTGGGAACTTATTCATCCTCAGCTGACGCTGTTGGCAAGGGCCAGCTCACTCAGGGCCTTACGTGGCCTTGTTAAGGGTGGTCTTTATCTTAAGAGAAATTAGAAGATATCAAAGGATTTAAACTGTGAGATGACAGGATTTAGAGGAAGGAAGAGGGTACTGTAGCTTCCAAGAAGGACATTGGTTACAAGAGAAAGGGCAGCCGTGGTGACAAGTGGAAAGAAAGGACTCTGGGTGAGTGTGAGAGGAGGGTAGCTGCCCCTCCGATGGGCTGGTGGCAGAAGACCTCAGGGAGAAACCAGGGGAGGTGGAGAGATGAGACATTTGAATAAAAGGTCTGAGGGGACTGGGGATCTGGCGGATGCTCTGGAGGCACAGGAAGACTCTGGAAAGGAGGCAAGGAGAGAGGGTGCGTGCTGGGCGGAGCAGCACGAATAACCCAATCTCAACAGTCTCCTGCAGGCAGCTCGGCCCTGGGCCTGATGGAGACCCATGGCTTGTGAGGTTGCCTGGCAGCCGCAGTTTCACATAGAGTTGTTTGGGGCCCATTTAATTTCTAATGAGGAATTTCGAGTAGCTCAGCATCGAGCGGGACCTCATGGTCTTGTTCTATGAATAGTGCCTGGGTTCTGGCTGAGAACCTTGTTGTCCAGATCTAGCACCGTTTTTTATCCTCATAAGTTGCTGGATAAGGTTGATTTTTTTCTTCTTCTCAGTCCTCCCTTCATTCATCTACATACTACGTACCTGGTAGTGCTCTAGGAACTAGGGTTTAAATCTTGCTCTGGAATCCTATTCTCATGGCTGGGTTCCCTCTTCCTACAGCCAGATTTCCTTGATGACAGCTATCAGGCAAGTGACACCCACTGTCACCTCCAGGAGAGGAGTCCCAGGATGTTAACCCACTCCACGGTTCAAAGTCACCAAGAAAGACATAATTCATGCAGGAACTGGATGGAACAAGTTTCCCTCAAACAGAGAAGAGAAAAAGCAAGATCAGCTTCAGTGTTTGCATATTGGTTCCCCCATGGCCAGCGGGTCTCGCCCTGCAGCTGATGCAGGGTGATGGTCTGCACACACCCTTCTCCTGCTGCAAGAGAAGGACCCAATTCCCTCCTCACCAGTAATGGCTACAGTAGAGGAGTTAACCAGGTGCCATATGACACACAGGCTTACACAGAACAAAAGGAGGACATTTGAGTCTAAAACAGGAAAAGATATTTCCGCACAAGGCAATAGGCCCAGCACAGGCTGGGAGGGCTTTTTATTTTCTTAAGGAAGGTTTCCAGGGCCAAGGCCCATTCTTATGTGGCTGTGCAGGAGTTGAAAGACTGCATTTCTCAACAACTATCTCACAGAATCTTGGGATTCTTAGAGTTGAAGGAGGTCTTTGGGGTCATTACATATGTGCCCCCATCGTGCTACTTTGTCCATCGTCTACTATGTAGAATTTGGCTGTCAGACGTCAGGATGCTCCATTACCTGTCCCAACTCACATGCCATGTCCCAGTGAACCCAGCCAGTTACCAGCCATTCCTGGGTCTGATTCAAACAGCTACGAAGCCAACACTCCGACATTTGAGGGAATGAGTATGTAAACAGCCAACAGTAAAGTAAGACAGTATATAGGACAATAGACCCACAAGGTCTGCAGCAACCAATCCAGGAAGCCAAACCTCAACCTCTGTAGCAATCAGCCCAGAAGGATCAGGACTTGGGCAAAGACAGCCAGCTTCCCTACCTTTAATCCCTGCTTCCAGTGCAGGACCAACCGGAGAAAGTCAAATATGCTCCCCAGACCAATCACGTAAGCTGCCCTGCTTCTAGTTAGCCTGCATCCAGCTTCCACAGGTGAACAGCCTCCAATCAGCACATACCTGAGGCCTCCTCCTTTCTGTACTATGAAGCTTTTCTACTTCCTACCTGCCTTTGAGTCTCTGCCAAACACCATTGAAAGTGGCTGAGTCCCTTACTATAGACAGCTCTGAAAAATAGAGCCACTGTTCTCATTTAGAAGTTCTTTATATATTTCCACACATTAGTGGACAACAAATTAAATAAACTTGGAATTATCTCCTAGCTATCATGGACTTGGTGAAATAAAACTCATAACCAGAAGATGCTGAAAGTAATCTGAGGGGAATAGAACTGCCTTTTTATATTTTTCAGTTTCATTGAGTTAAAATTGACATAAAATATTGAATTAGTTTAAGGTGTACAACATAATGATTTGATATAGGTATATATTGTGAAATAATACATATTTAGTTAACATCCATCACCTCACAGTTACAGATGTTTTTCTTGTGATGAGAACTTTTAAGATCTATTCTCTTAGCAATTTTAAAATATACAATACAGTATTGTTAACTATAGTTGTATATAACAAGATAAACACTGTATATTTGAAAGTAATGTACGTGCTGTACGTTATATCCACAGAGTTATTTATCATATATCATTTATCATATAACTGGAAATTTGTATCTTTTGACCACCTTCACCCATTTCTCCAACCCTCTACCTCTTACCTCTGGCAACCACTCATCTGCTTTCTGTTTCTATGAGTTAATTTTCTCTTGGTTTTCATATATAAATATCATACAGTATTTGTCTTTCTTTGTCTGACTTACTTCACTTAGCATAATGCCCTCAGGGTCCACCCATGTTGTTCCAAATGGCAGGATTTCCTTATTTTTTATGGCTGAATAGTACTCCCTTGTGTATGTGTGTGTGTATATATATATATATATATATATATATATATATATATATATATACACATACATACACCACATCTTCTTGGTCCATTCGTCCATTGTTGGACACAGGTTATTTCCATGTCTTCGTTATTGTAAATAATGCTGCCGTGAACATGGGGGTGCAGATATTTCTTCAAGAAAGCGATTTGTTTCCTTCATATACCCAGAAGTGGAACTGATGGATCATATAGTAGTTCTATTTTTAATTTTTTTTTTTTTTTTTTTTTGCGGTACACGGGCCTCTCACTGGTGTGGACTCTCCCGTTGCAGGGCACAGGCTCTGGACGCGCAGGCTCAGCGGCCATGGCTCACGGGCCCAGCTGCTCCGCGGCATGTGGGATCTTCCCGGACCAGGGAACGAACCCGTGTCCCCTGCATCGGCAGGCGGACTCTCAACCACTGCGCCACCAGGGAAGCCCCTATTTTTAATTTTTTGAGGAAACTCCATACTGTTTTCCATAGTAGCTACACAAATTTACATTCCCACCAATGGTACACAAGGGTTCCCTTTCTTCCATGTCTTTGTCAAAACTTGTTATCTCTTGTCTTTTTTTTTTTTTTTTTTTGTGGTACGCGGGCCTGTCACTGTTGTGGCCTCTCCCGTTGCAGAGCACAGGCTCCGGACGCGCAGGCTCAGCGGCCATAGCTCACGGGCCTAGCCGCTCCACGGCATGTGGGATCTTCCCGGACCCGGGCACGAACCCGTGTCCCCTGCATCGGCAGGCGGACTCTCAACCACTGCGCCACCAGGGAAGCCCTATCTCTTGTCTTTTTGATGACTGCCATCCTAACAGGTATGAGATGATATCTCATTGTGGTTTTGATTCACATTTCCTTGATGATTAGTGATGTTGAATACCTTTTCAAGTACCCGTTAGCCATTTTTATGTCTTCTTTGGAAAATGTCTATTCAATTCCTCTGCCCATTTTAAAATCAGATTATTATTATTTTTTGCTATTGCATTGTATAGAACTGCATTTTTAAAACGTATTTAAATCATATGGAAATCCATGGTCATGGATAGTCATACAGCAGAGAACACTTGTCTAGGGATAAAAGAAAAGAAAAAGACACATGCTATTTTTGCAGGATATGCTACAGACCATCGAGCCAGAATAAAGATAAGGGTAATATTTTCGTGACATAGATTATAAAACTGGCAAAAAGAGAAAATTCTAGTAAAAGATGTGACTATGAAATGTCTACTAAAAATCTAATTTTTTCCAAAATAGAGAATCAGATGCACTTCTGACTTGCTTTGTTAATATTTCAGGAATAAAACAAACCACAAAACCAAAAAGATTGGGGCTTCCCTGGTGGCGCAGTGGTTGACAGTCCGCCTGCCGATGCAGGGGACACGGGTTCGTGCCCCGGTCCGGGAGGATCCCACATGCCGCCGGAGCGGCTGGGCCCGTGAGCCATGGCCGCTGAGCCTGCGCGTCCGGAGCCTGTGCTCCGCAGCGGGAGAGGCCACAACAGTGAGAGGCCCGCGCACCGCAAAAAAAACCCCCAAAAGATTATGTGGAAGTGGAGGAGGAATCAAAGCTAACAATCTCATTAGAAAGTTCTGAAAATATGGGAGGAATGGAATGAATTGCATTGAATGAACTGGAGAATGCACAGCTCTGTAAGCAACAGACTAGGAAAGATGGCTGGATCTTGGCAGAGATTTTCTAGAGTCTTGTAATAGTCAGCTGGATCACTGTTGGAAATTTAACAGCCTGTTTTTTTCTTCTGTTCAGCATTACAGCTAAGAGTCCCCACATTTCCATATACAGCAGCGAGGTCTGCAGTTACGTTATTTTAGCATATGGTCTTATTTCTGCTATGCTAATACTGGTAGATATTTTGGGCAGTTAGGACTAAACACTGAAATAAGAAAAGCCACCACCTACGCTCTGCTACAGTTATAGTTTCCACTTAGAGTTAGTGTTTTCAAATTGCCCACACTTCATTTTAATCAACTTTTATTACTTTACTGAATCAACTTAATGAAGTTTGTATTAAAAAACAATATTGCTCATGATTTCATCAGCTCAGTAATCAGCTCGGTAACTCAGTAATCCTAACTAGAGTGGAAGAAATGAATCTCAAATAAGGGGCCAAGTCTGAGGTCTTCCAAATGCACTTCTCAGCATGCATGCATTCCAGAATTTTCAGCTATATCTACATTTTAATGTAACAGCCAATACTATGAAGAGAGGATACTGGAAAAAGCATCTCAGATCATAGCTGCATCAAGCAAAGTATTAGCATTGCAGACTGATTGTTTTTCATTGAAAGATTGAAATTATTCTTTTTTGACAGCTAAATATAATTCACTAAATAAATATTTGCAATCATTAAATAAATACTTGTATATCAACTATGTGCAAGACACTGTGCTTGCTACTGTAAAACAGGTTGACGGAAAGGTGGAAGATTTATTCTCCAAGTTTCTTAAGTTTTAAAATGTATTTCCTTGTTTCTACCCATCCATGTTTCTCTTAGAGGCATCCAATCTATATATCTTAAAATGCCATAAAAATGGTTACACATTTGTTCATTTAACCTAACTTCTTTCAAGAAACGTCGGTCAAGCCAATTCACCTTTAATTAAATAAATATTTCTCAAATGTGGTATTTTGGGGGGGGGGGGCTTGAATGATCTGAAGAGCATGTTCGAAGTAGTCCCCAGAAAGCACAACCTGATAAACAGGAAATGTTGATTCTGTGAAATTCCCCACTGGGTTAGTAGGTATGAGCATCTGGGTGCTGATGAAATGCATGCTTGGATGCCACCCCTTCCACCAAAAGTCTCGGTTCTCCATGTGTGCACACAGTACTCCCATGACTAGGAGGCTATCAACTGTAAATCCACCATCAATTCAACAATTGATATTTGGGGAAAAAGAAGCCACTCTATAAAATGTATACATGGTCATAAATGTTAGAGAGAAAGGTACATCTTAGAGTCCAAGTAACATGATTTTCTTATAAACATACCTATATATAGCATACATACATAATGTGTATTTTTTCTCATAAGCGTACCTATACATATTTTACTATCTCTCCCTCTCTCAAACACACACACACACACACACACACACACACACACACACCATCGTCATCATTATCTATGTGGGAAAACCTCCAACATCACAGTAAATCTATTTCAATCTCACATCCTGATGAACACATGCCATCAGTAGACACACACGTCTCACATAAGTGAAACAATTTTCACAGTTTGGGTGCCATTCTCCCTTCTTTAGATATTACAGTGCAAATGAGAATTTCAGTGCAATGATATCATGGTTAGTTTAAATTTACGGCAGTCAGGAAATTCCCAAAGCAGATGAAGAACTTCTGAACGTCACATGAGAACACAGCTAAGTATAAATAGCAGTGGTGATCCCAACACTGATTTTCATTGTGTTTAGAGGCATTTAAATCGTATCACATACGGGACTGGATTTTTTTTATGTTGATTTATATAATTTTAATTATTTAGGAACAATCACTTTCTAAAACTCAATAAAGAGGTTAGATGGGACATTTGTGGGGGAAGTTAAACATGGCTCCTAACCACAGGAGAAAAATGTACGGCAAAGGAGAAAAGATAAACAAGAATAGAAGATGACATATAGCCATCTGTCAGCTCCCAAAGGATATGCTGGTTTTCATGACAGTGTTTTCTGTTTTCTTTTTCAATGCTTTACCCAGCAGCATGCTGTTCAGTAAGCAACATTCAGGTATAGGATTATACCTTCCAGATACTACTGATAAGAGGTGACTGCCTTTAGGTATCCCTGATATATAACCTGGCTTGTCCCCTAGCAGATTTTGGACAATGGTTTTAAAGCACATGTTTTAATCCAAGATAAGAAGCTCAAGGCTACTAAAGAGAAGATAGACTTTTTACATATAAGTGTGTGTGAGTGTGTGTGTGTGTGTGTATATATATATATATATACACACACATACATAAATATGTATATATAATATATTTCAAATGCAAGGCAAAAGATACTACAAAGTTATTACAGAATGTAAAGACTCCTGGTTCCAGCAGATGGTATAACAGGATAATCTTAAACTAACCCAGGAAAAACAACTAGAAATGTTGGATAGAAAATAGGAGTATTTTTTAATAAGTGTATAGAAGTCTTTGTTAAAAAAAAAAAAAAAAAAAAAAAGAAAGAAAATCTCCAGATGCTAGAAAGGAAGAGTGGGGGGATGGGGGGAAGAAATGAAAAAAAAAGGCAAAAAAAAAAAAGAATAAAAGGAAGAGGCAACTGAAAACCTGAGAGGTAAGGATGTGTTCTGATGCAGGGGCTAGTCTAGAAAATGCTATCCACTACAGTAACCTAAGGGTTTGAGTAATTTTTTTCCTTTTAGGTTGACTTAAAGTTCTATAAATTTTCCTGAGAATTACAAATCTGATGCGTACATATTTTAGTGTGTAGCTTGATGAATTTAAAAAATGTTTACACCCATGTAACCAGTACCCCCAGTCTAGATATAGAACACCTCTATCACCCCAGAAAGTTTTCTTACGTCCCTTCCAGTCAATCTCTATACCCACAAGCAATTATTGTTCTGATTCCTATCACCATAGATTCCAGTGACCATGTTTTTGAATTTTATATAAGTGGAATCATAACCTATGTATTCTTTTATGTAAGCCTTCTTTCCACAATGGGGTAAGAAGATGTATCTATCTATAAATAACTGTGCCTAAAAGGGTTGCTTACCTCTGACAAAACCTAATGATAATGACAAAGGGTATTTTTGGAGAATTTCAACCGACACCCTACTGTACTGTAACGGGAATACAGAGGATTCCAGTATCAATCTCATGCTCTGCCTCATGAAGAAGCTGCTGGTAACCCTCAACCAGTGTGGATGGGGAATGAACTCTATTTGGACCCACCTTTACGGTGCAAATTACTTCTGTCATGCAGGCATGGATCTGTGTGCGAATGCTGACGTTTTCTTCAAGGATCATAGTTTCCAGATTTGGTCTTCACTGGATGCACTTATTTGTAGACTGTCTTCAAGCACTGAGTCATTATTATTTTGTTAACCTGAGTAGTCCTGCAGCTCACGTTTCTAACACGGGCATGATGGCTCTTCTATTTCTCAGGAGCCGGGGACAAGGCAAGTTTCGTTCTGTTTTCCTGGGACAAAGACGTGGGAAGGCCTTCATATCTAGTTTCCTCATAAAAGTCTCTTTCTGTTTGAAGAAGCTTTTGTGCAACACCTTGATGCTTCCTCAAATCAACAATAGCACAGAACTTCTATTTAATTTACTCCCCAAATTGCATGGATTACATACACTGCAGGCAGTCTGGAGCAGTGAGGGGCTGTGAGAGGGACCCTTGATTGGTTTCCTCTCACTCATTCTAAAGGTGGTGGTGATGACAGTGGCCTAGAGATATATTATGGCCTTTCTTTGGCTCTCCAGGTATGGGAATGAATTTTTTTAAATGACTGGGGAGAAGCATAGATACCCAGTTATAAATTCCACCACTTCAAGATTTCATTAGCACACTACATTCAGGTGAGTGAGCATTTGGAACTTACTAGGTAATGACTGATGCTGACCCTGAGCAACTAGAAAGCTGCAGGATGGCTGGCATCCTTCAGATGCTGCAAACACATGGCCACAGGATCAGTACACTGTCCCTGTTGAGCTGTTAAATGGGGCTGTGCTAGCTTCCCAGGCTTGAAAAGAAATTCAGTCGGTAACATCCATGGCACGGCGCACATGCCATACAGGTGACCTTAGCTGGTGCGCTTTCTCACAGCTCCTCTCTCAATGCGAATGTCTATCAGTATGTGCACCACTTTCCTCCCAGTGGTCAAATGTTTGACGTTTTAGTTCGTCTGTGATGGCAAAGGTCCTCTTTGTTCGAAGCTCCAGGCAGGGTTTAACCAGAGCAGCTCAGGGCACGGCCACTGGGATTGGATATGTGCTTTGCGATGTCTTCATCTAAAGGCTGTTGGACAGCTTTTCCACCACAGCGAAGGAAGGAGGGAGGAAACATTTCGGCTGGGCCAAGGTGGGCGTGGGAAGGAAAGGAGGTGAGCACAGGCTCCCTGCCCCGCGCAGGAATGCAGGAGTGGAGGCGAAAACAGGCCGGTGAGCACAGGTGACTGGGATGGGCCTGGGGAGGGCAGTGAAGAGTTCAAGACCTCTGGCACTGGAAGTCGCAGCAAATGTTGACAAGGAGGAGGGGAAAGGGACCCAGGGGAGAGCCTGGGCCGTGAGCCAGAAGCAGAAGAGAAGGCTTTGTGCGCCCCCCAGCACACGCCACCTTAGTGGGATGCGCTCCTGTGCGGATGCCTGCGGCCTCCCTCTCGGCCAGGCACTTGCAGCTGAGCGGTGAGTCAGCGCTGGGCCGTTGTTCATCCTTTTTTGAAGCCAAGTCTCTAGTCATTTCTGAAAAAAGAAAAATGATTGAGGAGGAGCTGGTTTTTCACCTTCAGAACGGATGTGAGTGAACCCATTATGTGTCTTACTAATAAAAGCAATCACATCTTAAGAGCAGCGTGGGGTTGGGGAATGAATGCTCCTTGAATACCTTTTGTCCATCAGTGATGCTGCCGTCCATGGTGCCAAAGGATAGGTAGAGCTTGCCCAGCAGCAACACATGAGGCTCTGTCAGGGCACCACCGCCACTAGAAATACATTTCAGAAAGCCAAGTGGTGCTTTTGCTAATTTGAGAGGCCAGAGTGAGCTGCTCACCCACTACACGTATTTCAGGAACAGATGAAAATGGACTCCGTGCCTGCTTCCTCTCAGCAGGCCCCTCTCCACTCCCCCAGAGCTTCCACCTGTTTCCTGGTGGCACAGAACTCTACACACCAGCCGCCCCCTCCCCTTTCCCAAAACGTAGGTCTGCCCTTCTGGGTAGCACCTCCACGCACGAACCAGTCAGTTATAAGGCCCGTACTCAAATATCCTGGTTCAAATCCTGGCTCCACCACTTACTGGCTGTGTCAACCTTGAATGGGTTTCTTAATTACTTTAAGCTTCGATGTCCTCATCTATAAAACAGGAAATCTATTGCCCTGGGGTTGTTGTGAGAATCAAATGTAACCATCTGTGTAAAACACATACCACAGCATCTGATGTATAAATACTCAGTAAACACCATCATCATCACCATCACTGTCATCATCTCAGGTCTTTTCCCCAGATCATGCCTGCTCTGTGTCAGAGGCAGACGACAGCAGCCCCATCGCATGTGTTGTTCCCCGACATTGTTCTGCTAAACCAACGTATGACAGAAGCGGAGGATTTGGACACTGCCAGGAATAAGAAGGAACCTTCTTGTCCAGATCTTTTCAACTATTTAAAACCATGCTCAGCAGGTTCGGATGTACATATTTATTATACGACTGGTCTGACAGAAGGATGCTGCGACACAGTAAGGATGCCCTAAACATTTTTAGCCAAATAAATGATTCCTGAAAAGTTTCTGTCTAGCAAACCAAGTCACATATTCCTTCTTTATATCAGGTGGCTTCTAACCTGCTTGAAACCTGCCCCTCTGGAATCCAATCTAATGTGGGAGAGAAGAAGATTCATAAGCAAGGAACTATAACATCATGTGGTAACACCACCATTCAGGTAGATGATAATCACGGTAATGACAGCTAAGATTTACTGCATTCCCACTATGGGTCTGGCATTACACTAGTCAATCCTGTACCTCCACATACTTAATCCTTATAACAACTCTTCAAGGAAAGTCTTATCACCTCAATTATGCAGATGAGGAAACTAAAGCGATGTGGGTCAGGGTCACCCAGTGAGCGAGCGGCAGAGCTCCTTTAGGAATTTCTAATTTAGGTCTGCCTGGCACCCCCCCCCCCCACCTGTCTTAAACACCTGGGCCATGTCCTGGGTCAGGGCCTTCCACTGCTATTCTCTCTGCCTCACCCTCTTCCAGCATTTGCTCAGTGGGGCCTTCCCTCACCAGCATGAGTGCCTAGGACACAGGAAGACAGTGAATGTCACAGGAGCAGGTCTGAGGAGCCCACAGAATCTGAGTCACACAGATCAGGGATGAGTATTCCCTGAAGGAGGGCAGACGGTCACCCACAGGCCTGGCCCTGGGCAGCATTTGGAAACAGGTGAACTGCTCTCTAACTCCAGGTACCACAGGCCCTCAGGTACCCTACATCTTTTCAAATCTTCTCTCAGGAAATGTGCTAATAAACACTAACATGTGCAATGCGTTGGCCAACCCAAGTACTTTTCATCTCACTATGGGAACAGATCCTAAGCCACAAAACTGAATCTCTAATGGTGGATTTCTATATGTCAGTGACAAATCTGGTGAGGACACACTTCCCTACTCCTCCTACCCCCAGTACCTCATAGGTGGCTTTCTGATCTCCTTATGAGCCTACCAAAGCAATTTTTGAAAGGCATTCAGCAAAAGATAGACAGAAAAGTTCTTTGTGACTAACTCCCCATTACTCAGAAAATTTAAGTGGATCAAACATCCCATCCCCCTTCACCCTCTGAGCATGTGGGTAATCACAATGTTACTGTATAATGTGAAAATTTCCAAATAGAACTAAACTCAGGTCTATAAATATACATGATTAAGGATTCAAATATAGCACTGCTGTATTTTCATGGGGGCTATTTCTGTGTGGTGATTGCCTCGCTGATTTGCAATTTCAGAATACGAATGGCTTTTCTCCATAACTAATGGGGAACTTGGCAGGGTGCTGCACACCCAGGCCCTGTCTGAGAAAAAGTCTGTTGAACAGTGATAAGTGCTCTTCTTCCCAGTTACATAAGCAGAGCTGACAAAAGGCAGCAGTACGACTCCAGATCCTGCTAAGATGAAATAGTGTTTGTTGGGTTTCTCTTCTGGTGCTAGAGGAATACTGACTCTTCTGGTAATTAATAATGAAATGATCATGAGTCTGTATCCCTCTATGATATTTTAAATTAAGCGCACTATGGTACAAGTTAGGAATAAATGGCAATGGAGAGTTCTCTGACACTCGATTCACAAATAACTAAAAAATGCTTAAATACAAATGATGTAAATAAATTCATATCCATGGTGACTGAACCAAAGAGGACCTGCCTGAAGCAAACTCTATGGCTGTTATAAGCAAAACATTATCATCTCCAGCAAACAGAGAGAAAAGTAGATTTCCAACGTGTCCTGAACTCCACATCATAAAGCAATGTTTCCAGTATCGTCACAGACAATGCAACCCCCCTCTGAGCAAGGCCTCTGTGGTTATATTCTGAAAACAGTTTAGAGAATGATGGACTTTGGACTCGAAGCTCAAATCCCAGTTCTCTCACTTATAAATTTTGTTACTTTGGACAAATAAGGCTTAGAGAAGTTTTCTCATCTGTACCGTGGAGATTTCAAAGTAATACCAAAGTCTCAGGGTTATTGAGAAAATTAAATGAGAGAAGGCATTTAAAAGCACAGTATTTAGCATATAGTAAATACTCAGTAAACACCTTTAATATTTTGTCTGAAAGTCTATCTTCAGTGTCTCTCATTGATTCTGAGCCTCCTTTTCCTGGCTCCATGGTTCTTATTTCTGGAGGACCTTAGGACACTCCTTCCTGCCAGCCACTTTCAGGGAAATAGGCCAGGTAAAGAAATAGAACCCAACTCCATGTCAGAACCCCAAACCTTGTGTGAAAGAAACAGTTCTAGAGTAGTTGCTCCTTAAGATAGGGGTTTAAATATGGTGGAGAAAGAAAGCTAGGACCCCAAATTTAAACCAACACCAGAAAGAGTTAGTATGAAGCTAATGAAGGTTAAGTTTCAAGACTCCTCTCTTGCATGGCCCCTTCCAAAACCTTATACCTAATTTTGTGTTCATAATTTTGCATCCTTTTTCTTAAATAGGGCTCTTAAATTTGTATACACTTTGGGCCCACCAAAACCTGGAACTGCCCGTGTCTAATGAATATGCTCTGAGCCCATCTGGTAGCAGGGGTGACCTGAAGCTGTGGATCACAGGGCTAGCCTTCCATGTCTTTCTTTCACCTTCTTCTAATGAGTCCCAGGATTGGTCAAAGGTCAAGGATAAGGCTATACCTGCAGGTGGGGTCTAAACATTCCTTGATGAAAAGAAGAGTCAGTGGTATCAGGAATGAGGCAGAGTCTGATCAACCTGAGGATAATGGTAATTCTCTAGAGACTTAGAGTTCAGTAAGGGAAATGAGACATTGCAAAATAGGTACAGAACGGCATTAAATCAGTGTTTTTCAAATGTGGTCCAGTCCAGCTGTGATGGAATGGCCTGACCAATCCTCACCAAGAACTGAAAAAGCTGGATAGAAATTGAGAAAAAAATCTGTTTGAAGGCACTAGAAACCTGCCGAGATAGCCAGGACTTGAGGGGAGGCGACTTACTGAGGTGATCCCGAGTTTTTGCACACTGCTTTACCCCTAGGGGCATGCAACGGACTGAACGGGTATACTCGCAAAATTCTTACGTTGAAATCCTAACTCACAATGTGATGATATTTGGAGGCGTGGCCTTTAGGAAATAATTAAATTATGAGGGTGGATCCTTCGTGGATGGGATTAGTGTCCTTATAAAGGGGACCCCAGAGAACATTCTTGCCCTCTTTCCAACGTGTGTGGTCACAGAGAAAAGGTGGTCCTTTATGAACCAGGGAGTTGGCTCTCACCTGACCTAAATCTGCCAGCACCTTGATCTTAGGCTTCCTAAAGAACTGTGAGAAATAAATGTGTGCTGCTTAAGCCACCCAGTTTACGGTATTTTTGTTATCGCAACCCACATGTAATGAGACAGGGCATTTGGCAATTCTCGGTGCAGGGCAAATGGCTGAGAAGTTAGCAGTAATTTGACGGGGCTGGGAAGATAAAAATTGAAGTTTGAAGCTGCCACGGCAATTAGGACATGTAGAATCAAGATCCTAGAGAAGAGGGGTGCAAAAATGTGATCCCAACATCGGCATAAGTTTTCTTCAAGTTATTTACTGATTAAGTTGTGCAGGCAAGAGGCTTAGAGCCAAACAGAAAGTGGCTGAAAAAGCAAAGCAGAATATGTGGCAATTTCATAATGCTGTGGAGACAAAAACTGAACTTGGAACCTACCCAAAAGGACTGATCCCCCCCAAATATCTCAGGCCCTCAGCTGGGATGTCTAGATGGTTACACCCTAGGAATAAGAGCGAGCCAGAACTCGACTGACCTTCCCAAAGACAGCACACCAGCCTGGGAGAGGTGTGGCCCCAACTGGATTGAGGTGATCTGCCTCCAGGCTGCCTGTGAGAGGAGAGGGTAAATCCTCTCTGGAGGGAGAAAACATCATCCAGAGCCCGTGCAATGTTTCACATACAATGTCAGACATTCATTAAAGTACTGCCAGGCATAGCAAGAAACAGGACTGAGAGAAAAACAGGCAACAGAAACACAGACAGGTAATCCAGATACTGGAGTTATCAGACACACCGAAACCACTGTGATTAATATGTTCAAGAAAATAGATTACAACATGGAGAAATGGAATGTGTTAAAAGAGAATAAAATGAAAATTATGGAGGTGGAAAATGCAAAAACTAATAGTAGCACTCAATAGGTAGCTTTAACAGCAAATAGAGCAGAGCAGAAGATAGGATTAGTGGAGTGGAAGGCAGATGAATAGAAAACAACCAGACCGCACACCCTGGCACATCCAAGGCAAACTGCTAAAAATCAACAACAAAGCTAGAAATTGTAAAAAACAGCTAGAGAAAAGAGATATTATTTTGAAAGAAGCAACAAAAGACTGACACCTGACTTTTCCAAAGAGAGATGGAAGTAGAAGAAAATAAAATGACATTTTTTATGTGCTCAAAGAAAATAATTGACAGTTTAGATACATGGGAAAATATCCTTCAAAAACA